GAGGACCAAAATATAATATCTCAGCTACTGCTCCAGATCAACACCTGCCTGCCATCTTCTGGCCATGATGATCATGGACTAACCTCTGAAGCTATAAGCAAGCCCCAGTTTAATGCTTTTAAAGTTGCCTTCGTCATGGTGTCTCTTCACAGCGATAGAACAGCGACTAAGATAAAAGGTAAAATGATGCTACACAAAGTGAGCTAAACAAGATGAGCAGATTCCTCCCTTGGGCCTATTACCTCCCCAGGCAAGGGATTTGACCTGAATTTGCAGTACCATAAGTGAATTCTCTTCTGTGGATCAGACCTCATGTCCAGTCAGGAGACGTTATCCCCGTAACAGCCATGCTACTGTTGTGCAGATGCCCACGTTTGCCTGGTAAATTGGTATCAAGGTGAGTAGAGTTTATAGCTGGGTATAAAGTAGCTTGGTAAGGGGGGCGGGGCTATGAAAGGAGAAAGGAGACCACAAGAGAGAAAGGGCACTGAGGAAGGGCGTTACACAGGATTGTCCTCCGTAGGCTCAGATATTTACCATCTGTCCTCAGTTAATGGTGCTGTCGGGGAGGTTGAGGAGACACAACCTTGACAGAGGGAGTACGTCACCAAAGTACGTCACTGGAGTATGCAACTGGAGTATGTCACTGGAGTACACCACTGGAGTACGTCACTGGAGTACACCACTGGAGTACGTCACTGGAGTACGTCAGTGGAGTACGTCAGTGGAGTACGGCACTGGAGTATGCCACTGGAGTACGTCACTAGAGTACTCCACGCCACTGGAGTACGCCACTGGAGTACACCACTGGAGGATGTCACTGGAAGACATCACTGGACTACATCACTGGAGTAAGTCACTGGAGTACGCCACTGGAGTACACCACTGGAGGACGTCACTGGAGTACGCAACTGGAGTAAGTCACTGGAGTAAGTCACTGGAGTATGCCACTGGAGTACACCACTGGAGTACGTCACTGGAGTACGTCACTGGAGTACGTCACTGGAGTACGCCACTGGAGGACGTCACTGGAGTACGTCACTGGAGTACGTCACTGGAGTACGGCACTGGAGGACGTCACTGGAGTACGTCACTGGAGTATGCCACTGGAGGACGTCACTGGAGGACGTCACTGGAGTACACCACTGGAGTACGCCACTGGTGGAGGGCTTTGAGACTAAAAGCCTTGCACTGCTTGCAGCCCCCTCTGCTGCACGGTTGGCTTCGGAGATGCGAGCTCTCCGCTCCCTCTCCTGGCCCACACGCGCTGCCCTGCCTCCCTGCAGCTATGGCTCTTAGCTCTCTGGAAACATGATCCAAGATAAACTCTTTTTATAGAAGTTTCCTTGGCTGTGTGTTTCGTCTAAAGTAACTGCTACAAGGATCTAGGAGTCATGAAAGCTGCGGGCGGCTATGAGCAGGGGAGACGGGTCCAAAGACAGTGACCGGCTAAGGAGAGAGAACACAGAGAGGAGCAGCAGAAGCAAGCTTTGCTTGAAAGTGTTGTACTGAAACACATGCTGTGTGTGCTCATTTAAAATGTTTTCTAAAATACACAAAAAGGTAGATGTCTTCTAAAAATGCTGAGTTGAAATGTTTTCCTATTATCTGTTGTGAAATCTTAGTTACAACTTCTCCAAGGTGGCATGAATTGCAGGCTCAGAATCACGGACACAAAATCCCTTGTCCAAGAAAAGGTAATAAATAAAAGCAATGGGAAAATATAACAAGACATCCACGGCTGTTTTGTATTCTCTGTGTTCTATGGAGTGGTTTGCTTTGAGCAGCGTAGTTGAGGGGTTTGCACACACTCCTTAGACTGAGAGAAGTGAGAGAACATGGGAAGGCCTTGCAGCACCCTGGGGGAGAAATGACTGAAAATGTAATGTGATGTAGTGTTCCTTCACCCTGCCCAGCAAGTTGGCAGCAAGCTTTGTGGAAAAGAGAGCCAGCCAGGTGGAATCCTTGGTCCTATAAAAGTTGTCCCTTGAATTGACCTATTCCTCACCTCGTTCACATCCTTGCCCACTCTGTACCACACACACACACACACACACACACACACACACACACACACACACACGCTGTGATGCTGGCCTGATGTTTATTTTGCTTGGAAATTTCCAGCACCATCTCTTGGTTGATTTCTACCTCTTGTCATCAGCCGAGTCCAAGTTTGAGAGGCTGTGTGACTTTCTGAATCATTTTTTAACTAGCTTCAGCTTGCCCTGGACTCTGCCCTCCCCTTCCCAAGGTTAGGGGAGTGGACAGGAAGGATAAGCAGGCTAACATACTCAGAAAAAGGCAGACTATCAGGTGTGTTAAAGCAAGCGAGACATCACATCCACAGAAGAGCTTTGCTGTGGTGAGACTCGGCTTTTGTTCTTCCTGTCAAGATCAGTAGAGCTGAACTATCTAGCCTGAATATCTCTGGCCAGTGAGCTTTCCTCTATGCAATGTCAGGGACATGGGTTCCTTTCTGACATATGCTCTATTCTTCAACGCCAGGTTTCCAAGGCCCTTTTGGGAGCATACCCATCCCTACCGCCAGAAGTGGAAAGGAGCATGGGAGATCACATGTGAGGAGTTTCTGTGGCTTCACCTGGGTGAATCATGGATCATTTCCACTTAATAAGCTGAGTCACATGGTCACATCTGGCTCCGAGGAAATCAGGGCAAAATGGCCAATGGAAGTACCCAGGGGTAGAGAATGAGTTTGGCAATCACCTCCAGATGAAATGTTCAAAAAAGGGGACTTTATTGAATTTTGTAAATTGTATCTTTTAGAATGTAGATTCACTATTATAGCTTGAATGTTCTGTATCTACCATCTTTAGTAGTAACACACATTTTAAAATCCAGTGAGGAAACATTTTATTTTAGATTACATTAAAATTCCTAGTAATATATTAAAATATGATATTTTGCTATATATTCCTGCAAACTTTAGCTCCTTCCTATTGCAAATCACCACTCTTCCTGAACTGGGCTCAGCTGGGCCTGATGGCATATACCGGTAATCCCAGTACTCAACACTGAGGCAGGAGGCTTGCAATCTCAAGTTTGGGCACAGCCTGACTCTGTTCCAGGAGATCATGACCGACACAGAGTCCAGGTCCTCACAGCACCAGGACAGATCTCTCCCTACTCTGTCACATTTGAGCCCCATGGTCATCAGTAGAGACAGCAGACCTCACCATGGACAACTACCTGCTCGAAATCCAGTTCCTTCCTTAATCTACTTCCATATCACCGACACAGGAAATCTAACTCAGGCACAAGCACAGTTGTAAATGAGAACCATTTTTTACAGCTTTTCTTGCCATTTCAAGGAAATCTCAATGAAACAAAGACAGCAGGAAAAGTAATTTTCCAATAATTGCATAAAAATGACTCAAGCTGGAAGTGTGGGCTGGGGCACCGACAGCCTTCGGTGTCGAATAATGGAGTTCAGTTCCTCGTGCCTGCTCTTTTTGACAGTGTAGTTGGGGGCCCGGGGGCACATGTGGGCGGGTGGTAGATTGGGCTTTGCTTGGAGCTACAGGACTATAGAGCACCCAGAGATGGGGGCTTGGCCATGCTAAACACCCACCGGCATGGGTGAAAATCCTGACGATGGTATAAATTTCTCGTCCCAAGGAAACCTAATCGTATCAGACATGAATATTCCAGATATGTCTTGGCTCTGTCACAGATCAGAGGAGGTGGTGGCCTAACTTCTAAGACAACAGAAATATTTGTATTCCCAAACCAGATTATTTTGTCAGACTCACTCTTTCAATTGCTCACCAGTGTGTGTTACGGCTCCCCAAGGATTTTTTTTTTTTTTTTTTTTTTTTTTACATCATAGGATGCTCTCTAGTTCTCCCAAGCCTGAGAACGGTATTACTAACAATAAGCTCCTTTGGGGGCAGTAACATAAAGCCAACAGCCAGAAGATTCACTCCACTCCCACGGCAGCTGTTTAGATTATTAAAATTCACAATTTCAATTGACGCAAATGCCATCTAGATTTCTCTAAATACCATAACGAGGACCAGTGAGATGACCAGTGGGTAAGGGCACTGGCCTCCAAGCCTGAAGACCTCAGTTCAACCCCCACATCCTCCTCACCCTGCACCACCTTCTGCAATGTTGGAAGGAAAGAATTGACTCCAGCAAGTTGTCCTCTGACCTCCACGAGAGCACTTTGGGACTTGAGTGCTTGTGAGTGTACATGCATGCGCGCGCGCGTGTGTGTGTGTGTGTGTGTGTGTGTGTGTGTGTGTGTGTGTGTGTACACCAAGTAGATAAATAAAACATTGGGAAAGAATATCTAAATAGATAAAAGTCCTCAAAATGTCTGCAAACTGTATTCCTCCAGAAAATATATAGAAGCTAAAACCAAGCCTGAAAAGTTCTACAAATAAAACCAATAACCATGTAAAGTATGGCAGCTGGAGATGCATTTAGAATGATTTACTTAAAAACAAATAAGCAAAACCACTCATAAGCACCTACTAAGCATCAGGCCCTAGGTAACACACAGAGATTTAAAGTGGAAGCAACAGACGTCGGGCGCCTGGAGTTCCAGGTCCAGGTTCAGGGACTGTCCTGTGTCACTTGAGGTGAAGTCCTGAGGGTATCCAGAGGGTATCCAGAAAAGAGGGTATCCAGACTAGCCAGTCGGAGGCTGTACCGTGGCAGATCAAAGTAACTAGGATAAAGACACTGGGAGTGGAAGGGGAGCGCCTGCATGCTCATTAGGTCTCCGCGCGCTGGGGCACACCTGAGTGGCCACTGGAACCAGCGCAGGTGGAGACTTGGAATTCAGAAAACAGAGAAAGCCCTTCCTTCCCTCACTATTACCTGCGACAGCTCAAGTGCAGCCGCTGTAGCTGTCGGGATCCAAGCCTCCCCGCCCTCACGCAGAGCATCACTGCCTCCAGGCCAGCACCTGGGGCTAAGTGCGCCCTTGGACATCATCTGGGTATCTCAACTCCAGAATTCCGTTGCGTACCATGGCTGGAGATTCTCTGCACCCTCCTGGGATGTCTCCGCAGCTGTTAGTGGTTCTTGCCTGCCCGCTTCTGACTTGTTGCGCACTGAGGGGACAGGTACCCTTGAGTGGGAACGCATCCCACTGGGAGCTCTACCTCCCTTCCTGGGGAGCACTTGATGATGGTAGCCACCAGAATGCTCGCATCATGATCGCCAACCCTGGGTTGCAGGTGCCTCAGGGCCGCTCGGTTTGGCTCGACCCACTGCGGGACTTGGTGATTCAAGTGCAGCCAGGGGACCAGTGCGAGGTGACAGTGCTGGAAATCCCTGGGCTCCAAGGCGCACTCTCCCCGCGCCACTTTCCCTGCGACTTCGGGGCCCACCAGGTCAGGTACACTCACTTCGGCTCGTCCAGTGCCACATGCTCTCGGGTGCAGCTGCAGCTGCGATACAAAGCAGGAAATTCCACGCTGGTACTGCCTTTCACTCTGGATGTGAACGTGGTCTTCTCCAGCTAGTGATGCGCAACAGGCCTTTGAAGGTGTTTAAATTGCGAGGCTGCAGCCATGCCATTGACAGGAGGGTGCTAGACTTTGCCTCCAGGAGTAGACTCACCTTGCTTCCTCACCCTGGCGGTCTACTCCCCAAGTATGGGCACTTGGTGGACGCCACTGGGACCCCTCTCTCCAGGGGCCATCTGGTTGACTGCGAGGCTTTTTATCCGGGCTGGGGTGCGCTACCAGCACACTGCCACTCCATCCTCACCCAGCAGGGACTATGTGCCTATGATAGTAGAACTTCTAGAGCCAGAGCCCCAAAGTACTGTGTCAGTGGAGGTGCTAGACCAGGAGTACTTGCAGCTGCAAGTCAGAATCCAGAAGGGAGCCAGGAGCACAGCACCCAGGCCCAGTTTCGGGGCTCTAATGATGGTGGAAGTTGATCAGTCCCTACTTACAGCCCTGACTCTTGATGCACTGGCTGCAGATGACCACGAATCAGATCCGGACAACCTAGTCTTCAACATCCTCAATGCCCCTCGGGCCCCACCTGGACACCAAGGTCCGCAGGGCTACGTGGTGAACAGAGATGACCCCCGGGGCCTTCCGGTCTCCTTCTTCACCCAGAAGGAGCTGCAGGAGCTGAAAATTGCCTATCAACCTCCCACAGGGAGCTCAGAAGGGGACTACATCTTCCAGCTAGAACTACAGGTGGTGGATGGAGATGGCGACACCTCTGACCCTTTGGCCTTCATGGTGGTGGTGAAGTCTACCAATGCCCTGGCTCCGATGACTAGCTACAACGGAGGACTTCCGGTTTTTGAAGGCCAGGCAAGGCCCCTGCCCAATGGCCAAAGCTTTCAGGTCAGTGATAAAGATAATTCAGAAGAAGTAAGAATTGCTGCAGTAAGAGGCTTGCAACATGGACAGCTGGTGGTGCTCGGGGCACCTGAGGAGTGTAAGTATTTCACACCAGCAGACCTAAGTGCAGGGCGCGTGGTGGGCCAGCATGATGGCAGTGACTCTTACAGAAACAGCGTGGTCTTCAGGATGGAGGACGGGCAGCATCAGGTGGATTTTCTCTTCCCCATCACCATCGTGCCTGTAGACAATGAGCCACCTGTGGTCACTACCAGTTTAGGACTCTCAGTGACTGAAGGACAGGTGGTCCAGATATCCCCCTTTGTCTTGAGTGCCACAGATGTTGATTCCGAGGACTCAACTATACTCTTTGTGTTGGAAGACCAACTTCTGGAAGGAAAACAGGAAGAGAGGAGTGGGGATCGGGCTCCTGATTGCGACAACTCAAGCCAGCCCTCCAGCAACATGCTGTTAAGGCAGGCTGAACCCCCTTTGTCCCTTCTGCAGAGTGACGGGCACTATGTGGAAAGGGAGGGTCTTTATGAGAAGGTGGGGACTGAGTGGCTACAGAAGGACATAATGGAAGGGAGACTTTTCTTCTCCCATGCTGGACCATACATTTCTCAATCTATAGTAGCCCATCTGGCTTTCCATGTGCAAGATGACCATGACCCACCAAATCTCTCCAAACAGCACTTCTTCACCACCAGTATCCAGCCTGCAGATAGGCTGAGTCCTCAGTTGTATCCAGGAACTACCCTAGAAATGACTGTGCAAGGATACCAGCTCACTTGCTTCCGGAAGAAATTCAGATGACCAGAACCTGTGGTACACCCTACTGACACCACCAACTGACACTGACCAACCACCAAGTCCAGACTGGAGAAATGTGCTCACTGATTCACCAAATAGACCCATTACTCATTTCACCCAGGCCCAGGTCAACCATCAAAAAATTGCTTATCAACACCCCCCCCCCAGAAGAATCTGGGCATTGTACCTCGGGTTGTGCGATTCAGCTACCAGGTAGAAGATGCTGCAGGCAATGGTGTGCCAGGTACATTCACGTTATTCCTGCAGCCTTTGACCAACCAGCCACCAAACGTCGTCAACAGGGGCTTTGCTGTCTTCCAGGGAGGCAACTTTATTCTCAGCAGCAGTGAACTTGATGTTACAGACCCCGACACAGGTGTTGATCAAATTTTCTTCATTTTAGTCTGGGGTCCCCAGCATGGACACTTGCAGTACTTTAAAAAATATATGGTTTCAGGGGACTCTTTCATGCTAGCTGATATTATTGATGGGAACATCTCTTATCAGCACAGCAGAGACCAAACTACCAGTGACATCTTCTACCTGGAGGTAAGTGATGGGGCGCACCATATGCCCATCACTGTCCGGATTTCTGTGCAGCCCATGGTGGCTGATGAAAGTCCCGGGGTCTCTATCACAGGCTCTCCAATATTGGCTATTTCCATAGATGTGCTTGATAATGCAGCTACTGAGATCACCATGGATGTTAATCGTGGCAGAAAGGACACAAAGGAGTTAATGCTATCTTTTACTGTGGAGGACAAGCCTAAACTGGGCACTGTCCTGGTGAATGGTCTTCCTGCAGAACAACTCACCCAGGAGGACCTCATTGGTGGGGCAGTAACCTATGCCCACACTGGAGGTGAAGTTGGCTTCCAAAAGGTACATAATGCTTTCAGCCTCATCCTTGACAAAGATTCTTATCGCTGGCCCATGGGGGACAACATACTGGAGAGGGTGCTAGTGCAAGTGTCAGTGCTGCCAGTGGACAACATGCTCCCCGAGGTCTTGGTGGGAGAGTCCTTCATTGTGTATGAAGGTGGGAAGGGCCTCTTGACCACACAACATCTCAACATTGAAGATGTGGACACTCCCAAAGATGAAATCCTTTGCACTCTAACTGGTCAGCCATCTGGCTACCTGGAAAACTCAGCACCAGCTCCTGGTTCAGAAGTGTCATGGGTTGGCTGCCCCATCGGTGCCTTCTCCTTCAAGGATGTCCAAGTCGGGTGCATCAATTACGTACAGAGTATCCACAAGGGGGTAGAACCAGAAACAGATCAATTCTCTTTTTATTGCTCTGATGGCATCAATTTCTCCCGAGATGTCCTCCTCCCTCTGACCATCTTGCCCACCAATGACGAGCAGCCCAAACTTTTCACCCATGAGTTTGTGTTATTCAAGGGGATGAGCCGGGTCATAGACACCCCACTACTAAATGGAGTTAGATGCCGACCTTCCACCAGATAAGCTCCATTTTTGACTCACCGTCCTCCCCTGGCATGGACAAATCACACAGCAGCTGGCCACAGGCAGCAAGCCCATCCACAGCTTTACCTTGCAGGAGATCCAGGAGGCCTCCTCCATTGCCTATGAACATGATGACTCAGAGAGCACAGAGGACAGCTTTGAGGTCTGGCTGAGTGGCGGCAGGCACACCGCTCACAAAAAGGTACCCATCATTGTAATTTTGGTAGATGATGAGGCCCCTCAGCTGACCATCAATGATGGGAAGTGGAAACTGGACATGCCGAGATCATCACAAACCACATGCTCAAAGCCATAGATCTTGACTCAGACAACAAGAGTCTCACTTTTGTTCTCCATTCTGAGCCTCAACGGGGACTCCTACAAAGACTTAGGAAGCCAAGAGGAGAAGTGAGGAGCAACCTCACCGTGGGAATGAATTTCACCCAGGATGAAATTGACAGAGAACTTATCTGTTATACCCACACAGGCCAGGAGGGGGCTTCTCAAATTTGATGTGACTGATGGAGTTAACCCTTTGAGGGACCGCTATTTCTATATCACCATTGGTAACTCAAACAGCATCCCCCCTGAGGCTGTCAGCAAAAGGCTCACCTTGACAGAAGATGGCAGGGCGACCCTCACCACTGAACTGTTTAATATCAGTGATATCCACAGCCCTGGTGAGGAACTTCACTATAACATCACACAAGCTCCTAGCATGGGCTACTTGGAAAGCTCTGACCAGCACGGAGAGCCCATGGCTTCTTTTACTCACGTTCAACTGGCTGGCAACAAGATAGCCTATGTCCGCATTTCAAAGGATGAGATAAAGATGGAACACTTTGAGCTTAGAGTGACTGGCGGGCACAGCTCTGTGTTCAGAATCTTCAGGATATTCGTCACAGATGGGGACAATAAGAAACCCACCTTGACCATCCGAACACTGGCACTGCAAAGAGGGGACAGCACAGGGGTCACTCCTTTCCAGTTGGCAGTGGAAGATGAGGACACTCCAGATGACTTTATTATTTTTACCATCACCCAGGCCCCCATCCATGGCAGGATTCTGTATAATGGTAGTCGTCCTGTGACCACTTTCACCAAGAAGGACCTGACTGAGAACCTGATTCTCTACTGTCATGATGGTAGTGAGGCAGCTGATGACAGTCTCTCCTTCACTGTGACTGATGGCACTCACACTGGGTTCTATGTCTTCCCAGACACTGCCCTGGAGATGCACGCACCTCAGATAATGTGGATCCAGATAAGTCCCCTTGGCAACTGGCTCCCACAGATTGCCATTAACAGGGGAGCCACAGCCTTGAAGGTCCTTCACACTGGACACCTGGGTTTCCTCATTACTAACAAGTATCTACAAGCAGACAATCAGAATGGTCCCCACAGACTCCTGAAGTATAAAGTGACCAGAGGACCCGAGCATGGCTACATTGTCAACACTGGCACTGGAAACAAGAGTGCCCACATGTTCACACAAGGTGAGTCACATTCTTCCCTGTGTCTCTGTCTGTCTCCCCCATTGGGTTAGAGATCTCAGTGTTCTCTAAAATGGTCCTTCTTCAACCACTCATTAGAAGAGCCACTTAACAGAAACCCAGAAATATTTAATGGACTGTAATTACACCTTCAAACAGCAAAACACAGAAGCTTGGGCTTCGGAAATATCAGAAGGTTACATTTATTTTGATAGCATGCTTCGAAGTTTAAGAATGACATGCCTAAGAATCGTTGTTATGGTTTGTTAGTCTAGATTTTTAAGATAATCGTTGTTATCTAGAGTTGAGATATAAGTGATTACATCACACATTTTAATGTGCTATTCAAAAGTAATTTCTGAAGGTGGAAGTGGCGGCTCACGCCTGTAATTCCAGGGCTTGGAAGGCTGAGACAGTGGGATTGCAAGTTTGATGCCAGTTTGGACACATAAATACCAGGGCAGGCCAGGCTACAGTGTAAGATCCCATAGGAAAAGATGTGATTTATTTATCAAAAGTACATGGAACTAAGTTAGTCTTAAGTGTAAAAAGGACTGTGTGTTACATTTTATTTTTCTTTTAAATTTGAGGTTAGTGCTAGTGCTGAACTAGAAGGAAGTCCCTGCTTTTCCAGGTTGTGCGGCACCAGAGGTCCTTTGGCTGCTCTTTACTGTTTAAGTAGCTGTAGTCGGAAGTTTACTCCAGTCCCGCCCGGCTCCATGGTCCCTCAGCTGCTTATAAAATAATCATTCAGAGGCTTATATTAATTACTGCCTAGCTCTTACACTTAAATTAACCCATAATTCTTATTTATGTTTAGCCATATGGCTTGGTACCTTTTCTCAGTTCTGCCTTGGCATTTTGCTTCCTCTGTGTCTGGCTGGTGACTCCCTGACTCAGCCTTCCTCTTCCCAGTATTCTCCTTGTCTGCTCATCCCACCTATACTTCCTGCCTGGCTACTGGCCAATCAGCATTTTATTTATCAACCAATCAGAGCAGCACACATTCACAGCATACAGAATGTCATTTCACAGCAAGGAACTTTACTTATGAGATGTAAAGAGAGGCATGCAATATCTTACCCTCAATATACAGTTACCTTGCTGTCACAGAAGACGATGTTTGTCTTGGTTACTTTTCTATCGCTGTGAAGAGACACCATGACCAAAGCAACTTATAAAAGAAAGTTTATTGAGGCTTACAGTTTTAGAGTGTAAGTCTATATGTCAGGGAGCATGGCAACCAGAAAGTAGACATCATGCTATATTCATAGCTGAGAGCTTACATCTGATCCACAGCACAAAGCAAAGAGAAAGCCAACTGTGAATGGCATACCCTAGAGACATACCTCCTCCAAAGAGGCCACACCTCCTAATCCTTCACAAACAGTCCCACCAACTGCAGACCAAGCATTCAAACATATGGAGGAGGAACGCTCTCATTCAAACCATCACAGTATTTGAAAACCAGCTTGGTTATATTTCCAGATTGCTTCTAAAGCCAGTGACATCACATACAGCTCTGTAAGAATTGTTTGTCTAAATAAATTCCACTTGGGTGCAAATTGTCTTAAAATACTAATAGTTACTAATATAAAAAGCAATCACAGATCTAAGGAACAAGTTGTTTAAAGGAAAGTGTCATAGACAATAAGAAAAAACAGTGGCTTATTCTCATTTTCTTTTTCTACAGATGTAATCTTTATGTTTATTTAAACTAAGTTTGGCAAATACTTAACAAGTACTGGTCATTGTGGCTCTGTGAAGATCGTGTTGACCTGGATCGTCACAGACTGGCAGGATGCTAATGTGATATTTTATTTGTACTGAAATGTGATTTTATTTGTATGTTAATAAATAAAGTTGCCTGAGGGTTAGAGCTAATAGTAAGCCATAGCGGAGCTGGGTGTTCATGGTACATGCCTTTAATCCCAGCACTTGGTAGGCAGAGCTAGGTAGATCTCTGTGTGGTCAAGGACACAGCCAGCATTGGAGACACACGCCTTTAGTCTCAATACCAACCATAGAAGACCTGGAGGTCTGTACAGACAGGCAGTGACGAGGTGGTCATGTGGTTGGGTTTACAACCAATGAGAAGGCAGAACAGAAAGTCTATATAAAGACAAACACATAGGAAGTAACTCTCTCTTGGCTGAAGAGGATCGCTGAAGCAGGAAGGGTAAGGCTCTTAGCGCTGACCTCATGGGCTTTTATCTTTACATTGGCTCTGTGTTTCTTATTTAATAAGACGGTTACTTCTACAGGATGCTATAAAACACATACAGCCAGAATGTCCCCTGGATGTATGACGTATTCAGAAACACGTGTTCACAGCACCACTGCAAAATGTTCCTTGATTTTTGCCTTTCTAACTTTAAAAAACAGATCTGTTTGCCAGCAAGATGGCTCAGTAGGCAGTGGTGTTTGCAGCCAAGGCTGATAACCTGAGTTCAATCCTCGGGACCCATGTGGTAGGACGAGAAAACAGACTCCTGCAAGTTGTCCTAGGACCTCTACTCATATACCATAGCACACACAGACACACTCGTGCACACATACACACATTAAATAAATAAATAAGTATAAGTATAAATAAAAATTCAAGGCCCTCCACTTCTATTTAAAACATTGTTACCTTTCCCACAGCGTATAAACACTGAAGTTGCCAACACCCCTTTCCCGTTGTACAAAGTGACTCAGTGTGGTGTTTGCTCTTGTTTAAAGCTGACATTGATGAGCTGTGGGTCCACTACATCCTGAACAAGGGCAGCAGAGCGACGGAGGACTCCTTCGACTTCTCTGTTGGAGCCAGGCTTCCCCCAAAGGGAAAAGCTGCCCACTGCATTCTGCACTGTGAGTTTTTAAGAATATTTTATAATGATTTTTGAGGTGTGTGTGTGTCACATTCATGGAGTATGGTGGACCAGATCTCCCTTTAGGGTTGCTTCCCATGATCCTCTAGAAAAGTCCACAAAAAAGCAAGGGATTAAAAATGACAGTGTGGGTGATATTAAAGTGAGATGTACAAGGGTACACAACGGTGCACAAGGTGGCAGCTGGTAGCTGGGTTTCTGTACAGCAGAACAACCTCATTGCAGCTTCAAAGCTACTTAGCCACTAAAGGGCATCCTGACTGTCAGGAGATGCTGCTACCAAGATCAAAGATCCTGCTACAGTCGCCTTGTTTCCCTCATATCTAACTCCTTGCCTGCCTGGCTCCTGGATGATGATGGTGGTGGTGGTGGTGATGATGATGGTGGTGGTGGTAGTCATTGTAAGGATTATGTCCTTAATTACGTCACTAGCCTGCAACGGCATCCCAGCCTAAAATGCGGGCGTGCCCTCTGTGCATTCCTTTTCTCCTTTCTGCACTCTCTCCTTCCATTCTCTTCCCTCCACGTTTCTTTCTCTCTGTTTCTCTGTCTCTCTGTCTCTCTCTGTCTCTCTCTGTCTCTCTCTCTCT